GAGAATCATCATGTTGAGTGGTTTCTAAAAAAGAAACCATACAATGGATTTCCAAATTAATTTGACACTTTTGGTCACAAAACCTCACCAAACAACCTGAAGATGTTACAGATTTGGCCAAATCTCTGCCTTGCAATACAAAATATAATTTCAATGGCAGTCTATTAAGACAAAGGAAGAGAGGAGAGGTAGCTAAGGGGTTGGGGTGTTGGTGAGATAAGGACTCAAAAGTTCACCCTGTGAGAGTTAGTGGGTGTAGGGATTCTTCAAGACCAGAGATGTGAGAGACTTTGACATGTGTGCCGGAATTTGCAATCATCTATATCATGTGACAGAAAATCAGCCTGACCAGAAGTATTGGGCGGTGCAATTGGATTTAGATAAACACCTGTGTGGCTCCAGTGCCTCAAGCCATTGCAACAGCAAAACCTACCACTTGCTGCTCCATCCAACAGATGCTATAGAAGGGGCCGTCATGGCTGTGTAGAACCTGACCTTCAAGGTCCAAAGCCACACATGCAAACCTGTGAGGCAAGCATCTGTGATAGCTTCAGCCGTTTTGACCGGCCCAGAATCAACCTCAATACGACCAAGAAGCAGCCTCAAGGAACCATTGACCATTGGAAGCCTCAATGCTGTCAGCAAGCTACTCAAGGTCAGCTTGCACATTCTGGTAGGCAAGAATTGGGGAAAAATGGGAGGACTTGTTGACCAGCTTGTAGCTGATTGAAGGGTGAACCTGCAAAATGGAGAAGAATTCAGCCAAGATGCCCACCCAAGGAGGATTTGGCACTTCAATAGCCAATGCTTGGGAGAAGAGACAAAGACCCTTATTACCATGACTAGTGCAATTCTCTTTCTGGGGGGAGTGCAATGGAGAGTGCTTTGACATTGACTGTAAATGAATCAAAACACCCTCATAAACCAGTGCTGTTTGTAAGCACTCTTCTAGACCTTATAGGGACTGACCTAAGTATCAGGAGTTGAAGGTAAAAGTGAGAAACATAAATGTGAGCTCAAAGGTTCATGTGTAAAAGATCTCATGGAGTTTCTCTTTTCAAAAGATAGTTATATTACTGTTAACCAACCTAATCAACTGGTGCTGTTTGTAAGTGCTCTTCTCCAGTTCAAGCTATGCAGACCTTGTAAGAACTAACCTAAAGACTAAACAACAGATGCAGAAAATATGAACAAAACACATCATTTTGGTGCTGATATCAGGATATAAAAGCAAAAGAAAAGTACCCAAGTATCAGGAGGTAAAGGTAAAAGTGAGAAACAAACATTTGAGCTCAAAGGCTTGTGGCTAGAAGATCTTATGGAGTTCTATCACAATATAAGTGAGGAGGTAGTAGCTTATGAGGATATTAAGAAGAATGGCTCACTGTCTTTCCAAAATATGAGGAAAGATTGTTAGATTGAGACAAGGCAACAACTATACATATAAAATAAAAACAAAAGGCAAAACATTGGGAATTCTTGACAACAATTTTATTGGCATTCATTAGTGCTTCAGTTTTGACAACTCACCTAAGAATAACAACACTAAAACCATTCAGATAAGTATCAAATTCCAACCAATACTAAACACTACCTGAACGGTGTACAATGTTTGATAAGTCTCCTCCATGTCTTGATTGTATTTCAATGTTGACAATGTGACCAATCATTTTCAACTGGAGACCCAATAACTGCTTCTTCCATTCCCATGCTAAGCTCAATGTGTCCAAAAGGAGAAAGAGCTGAGCTTGGTGGATAGGCATGGAAACATCTTTGAAGGTGGTCATCAAGTTTTAACTGTGAGATTCCCCAGGCGTCATCCATGAGTTTATTTATGCACAGGGCTTTCATCTTTTAATACAGGATCCAAATGACAAGGGGGGGAAACACTAGATATTTGGCAGTGCCTCTGAACCAGATTGAAGCATTGATTAGTGTAATACATTAGACTCCAAGAAAACCACTTAATCCAAAATTGGGACTAAATTCATCGGTATTTACAGAGTACATATTTGTTTTGTCAAAACTTTGGGAAAACCAATAAAAATCAAATTGCAGCAAAATTATTGGCTATAAAAAGAAATATATGTATTATATTGTATCATACACAGTTCCCAAGAATTTTTAGACAAGAAATTTGTGAGGGATTGCTACTTGGCAAGAGCCAATCTTCATCTGGTACCTTTAAGGGGTCAGCAAAGTGATTGCACATTGTGTGCATTACTGGGCCAGTTAAGATAAGAGCCAAGTGTTCAGCCTGAGTCACCCAAGGCACAAGTTCTTGGGTCAATTGACGGTTGTATTTGTCTTCTTGGAGTAAAGACAAAGTCCAGAATTTGAGTCAGCTTGGAACTTGATCTCTTTCTCTCTTTCAACCATTCCAAAAGCCCAGGCTGTCCAAATTGCAATGCAGGTAAAAAACAATTGACTCTTTGAGCGCTCTTAGTTTGCTTTCCCTCATTAGCATGAGGCCAGTCCTTGTTTTGCTGAGAAAGTGTTGGGTTGACCTTCTTTATGACTTTTGCCTTTTTATTGTCAACCTGTTTTTTGGTTGAGAAGTTTTTGTATGTTCACGCTTTTTGGAAACAAAAGGTCAAAGGTGAAAAGATTGCTCATACAAGCAAGTGAGCTTCAATTGTTTACAATGAACAGTTTATAGACTCACTGTCCAATGCTTTTGAAATCACTGGACATGTCTGATCAGCCTTTGGAATCAGCACCTCCAATGTGACCTTCTCCTTGTTGTTGAGATCAATGGTGGCATGAGCAACATTTCCAACTTTTTTGATGCACTACAACAACCTCCACTCATCAACAAGATTGGTTGCTTCATCCACAAACTGTTCTTCAGCTTTGGTGAAGTACTTTCCTGAGCTCAGTAACTCTTTCAAAGGTATTAAGCAAGGATCATTCTTGGATTTCAGGGTTTCAAATCCTTTCTCAATGTGAGAAAATTTAAATATTGTATTTAGAGAGGTCCTTGGGAACCAGGATATCAAAAAAATTTCAAAATTTCTCTTTGTTCCCTGTATGCACAGAGCAAAAAATTACAAACAAAAAAACCAGAAGTGGCACGACCACCTAAATTATTGGTTTCAAACCCAGCATACCAAAAAACGTTATTGCATATTGGGTTTGACACATTAGGGGTTCTCAAAGTTGGCCCGGTTTCAAGAAAACCCAGTTGACCCGGTTGCTTTTTGGCAGTAACCTTGTGTATCAAGTTGACATTTGTTGACAGATCACAGCCAAAAAGTCAACTGGGTCAACTGGGTTTTTACAAACCGGGCCTACTTTGAGAACCCCTATTTATCCACTGCAGATAAGAAATATTTGACCCAAAAAGTATTGGGCTAACAAGATTATTGCTTTTGACATATTGATCTTCTCAGTGTCTACTGTAAGCATCCCCAATATTCACAATCTGGAGCATCTTCCACACAAGCAACATTGGCAGTTTTTTGGTACACCCTGGCAACATTGCTATTTCACAGGGCAAAGAACCTGTTTCCCTTGAGTAACAAGAACATGAAAGGCCCAAATGTTTCCAAAGAGTCATACAGGACCTTGATCATGTTTTCTTTGTTGACAAGATTGTTGAGGGAATGTGTCTCATAGCTCATGTTGGTGCAAACCCTCTGCTTTGAGGACCCTGCCTTAGCAATGAGGAATAGTGGGGATACCGTCTTCCCAGGTAACAGGGTTTCAAAAGTTGGCCAATACCACTTGGCTGCAACCTCTTTGTCTTGGGCTTCTAGCAGTGATTGCGGGTTCTTGTTGCACAGAGTGGTTTTAGTGATCCTTGATGAGACTGTCTGGTATTGCAGAGACCAGCTGGGACATGTGTTGCAGTACTCACGCCACATAATCCACAAAGGGTGCATTGGGATGGTCCTTGAGCAGGTGATGGAATATAGGGACATTGACTGGGCACACATTCTTGAAAAAAACTAGGTAATTATGAGACAGTGTGTACTTCCCACAAGGCTCCTTGTTTAGGGAGGTCGTGTGTGGTAATCTTTGGCATGTAGGCTGGAGTGTAGGGATTTGAAGAGAACTACTGGCTTTTCCAATTCCTGCTTGAGCCCCCTCCTGAGATTTCTCTTACCACTGTTTGCTGCAACAAGGCTGGCACACATCAATGACTACTTGACTCTGTGATGTTTGATCATCTTTTTCTCTATCACCTTTGTCTGTTAGATTCTTGTGAGGCATAGTTTCATTTTTTGATAAGCCTCTGAGAGGGAAGGTGTACATACTAGCGCAGTCTATGTGACTGGGTGGGTGGGATAGATAGGAATGAGAAACCAATCTAGAGAGAAGCAGCAGAAACCAATATCTACCTACAAGCTTTGAGAAATCTGTTGAGAGTTCACAGAAGAATAGTAGGATGAGTTTGATTTGAGAGCATTCAATTTGGTCCGTAAAGAAAAAGATCAGAACAAAAAATAGAGGAAGAACAATATAAGGTAGAGCCCATCTATTTAACACACATATAACACTCCAAGCTATTAGAACCCCCTTTAACAACACCCAAGTCCAACCCCTGTGTTCAGCACATCAACCACTGTCACCAACTCAACTATCAATGGATCCAAAGCTTCTTTGCCACCAAAAATAACACAAAAGGAAAACCATGAAGCATTATTCTCATCATTAATTAATGCTTGCTCATTAAAAATCATCATTTGTAGAGTATCTTTTTTCCTTTCTCTCCCAAAACTTCTGTAGGATGTATCTCCGGCGTGGAGGAAGAACATTGAAAGCTGGTACCTGTATGCTACTGGTTTTTGGAAACAATATATCATCATACCACAAGTCTACAAGAAACCAAATGAACCCTTGGCTTAATGGATGTTTTGGGTGATCTCTACTTAGATAATTCAATATCTCTTTCAGATCAGACCACTCTTCTTCAGTCTTCACTCTTCCTGTTTTTTTCAATACTAAAGGATGATCAGTTTCTGAAAGATATTTGATCCATATGGAGAAATAATCCTTTAGGAATTCCCATCCACTTTGATATATGACATCCCAAGTTGAATTAACTTCCATTTCTGGATGCATCAGTCTCAAAATCCCCATAAATATTGGAGTCAATTCATATTGTGCTGTGCGTAGTACCTTGTGGACCATATCTGTATTGCCAATATCTGATCTTTTGAGATTAATTTTTGAATGAGATTCTCCATCTATGCCTGGCTGACTCATTGATTCTATATCATAATGAAGCTGTGAAAAAAAATGCAAAATCTTGGGTTTTTGAGCTACCTGTTGTCCTAGATACTCAAGACCATAGATAAAATCAGTTCTTGAGGTTCCTGAGCCAGAGTCTTTTCTTCTTTTGTCATGATTTGTTACCATGTTTTCCTGTTCATATTCAAGATTCTTACTCTTTTTATCTTTTTTGCGATATACAGTCTTCTCATCTCCTTTTTGTTTGTAACAGACATCAGACTGTTCCACAAATGACCAATAATCTTTCATGATTCCAGAAACCAAACATTTGTAGCTGGTTGTATCAGCCCACTCCTGAAGCTTTTGATATATGATTTTTGATGATGGTGGAACACCTTGTGAAAGATGCAATGTGTATTCAAGGAGGTTTCCAGGCTTTATATGACTGTGTGATTGTCTTTTTTGCCTTTCAGATAATTTGGTGATGTCTGCTTTTGGTGAAAATGAGAACTCTGTATTGAGATACCTTTGGAGATATTCCCACAGATCAAGAATCAATGAGTGCATCCATTCTGCTTCAACATGTCTTTGGAAGACTATCTTAAAAGCACCTAGGACCCCTGGGACAAAATGAGTTTGAAGTCTTTTAAAAGCTATTGTCTGTAAGTTGTGTATGACACTAGATGGTCCCACAGCATACTTGAACCTAGACCTTGAAGATTCTTTTAAACCTTCAAAAAAGTCCTCAATATTTTCAGAGATCTTGTATCTCTTGGCTAAAAGTAACCTGCATTGCCATTGCAGGACCGCATTAAATGTGTTTTCCTTTACATAGTAGTGATACTTTGGATCTTGTATCACTTGAATTTGTTTCTTATTTTTTCTGTTCTCTTGAAATTCAACTGTTGCTTTGCGCTTCTTTTTTAATGCTGAAAAAGTGAGGCTCAGAGCTTTTGGTTTGGTACCAGACCCTGTCGCTTCCCCCACATTTGGGTTAGACAATACCAAGGGCTCTATTGATTGGTGTTGATTGAGCCTTTCATGACTTGTTTCTGTTCCATCAGCTAATAAATAATTTTCTGTTGGTGATATATTGCTTTCTATGATGGGATTTGATTTCAATCCCATTTCTTGTTCAGCTTGATATATTTCTTCTTGGGTTGAAGGAACATTGAAAAGTTTCCTAAGCTCCAGCATATCAATTGGCTTTATGTCATCCAAGCTGTATGTAAGCTCATGTTTGAAATCATTCAGATTGTCACTAGCTGTTAATGGAGCTTTTGATTTTTGAGTTGAACTTGAAGGGCTATTGAGTGTTGGAGTTATAGTTTCAAATATTGGTTCTAAATCAAAGATGTCTGAGAAGGAACTCCCTAAGGAATGATCCTCACAGAAGGGGATGGAAACTACTGGAAGTAAGAAAAGATGCTTCAAGCTGATTAGGAATATTATGAAGATGATCATGATCAGATTTACTTCTCCTTTTTCAGTAGGGGATTGATGATATGAATTTTTTGTCTTCAAAGATTGAAACTGTAATCTTATGACCCGTCTTATATCGATTTTGAAGAATTTGTAGTACAGTTGTTTCAAGCTGCAGTGTCATGGAAGGTCTCATTACAATTTTTGCCACCTGAGTTGAACACAGAATACTCCTGGTTTCAGATTGTGAAACTGGGTCTATTTCATGAAAGAGTATCTGTTTTTAGCAGCCTTCCTTTGCTCCAAGCTGAATTGTGCTGTAACCAGCATTCCTTGTTCCAAATGCCAAATTGTGTATCTCAGTTGGTGATGTCTTGTTCACCCTGAGTCTCTCATGTCAGACTGTGCTTCTGTCACCCATCGTTTGGTCTGTCCCCCAGAAGTTTCCCAGCTGATTCAGGTGCAGGCCAGCCTAGGGAAGCCTTGGTTATATTCCAAAACCCCCATGAGAAACAGCAAGACCCCTTGTGACACCAAACTTGAGAGCTTCTTGCATGTACTTTTGTATAATTGCTTTTGTTGATTTTCTAAAGTGAAATCTTGTCTGGTTATTATGCAGAGTGCTCAATGTGACACCACACTAATTGAACCTCAGAGTCTGGCCCAAGAGAGTTGGCAACAGGTGCCTGGGGAGCTACTGAACACAGATTGGAGGCTTACCCATTGGAGTGAATGCTTAAATGAACATTTATGTAGAACATTGTCCTTGCATTGCTTTATCACACACTGCTTGGAATCAGTGAACTGAGATCAAAAGGTGTTTCCAAATTGGGTCAACCTTACTATCTTCCTACATATCAAGTTTTTAAAACAAGGCTTTTTTGTTGAGGAAGAAAGAAGTTTTGAACATTGGCAGTGAGACTCTGCTAAGGTAAGACCTGATTGTTTGCCCAAACTCAGGATTTGTTGGGGTCTATGTAGCAGTCAGCGGTTAATCAGAGCTTTGCAAATCCTCTAAAGTTGAGGACGAGACTGTTTGGGTTCAAGATGCTTAGAAGATTATGGAGTCATAAAACAATCTATCTCTAGAAGACAACAGTCACTGAGAATGAAGGGGCAAATTATCCCGTAAGAAAACTCCTGGATATTTAACATAGCTAGTAACTTGTAAAAGCAGTAGGATCAAACTATATATCTGAAAAGGGAAGATCTACGAGGCTCAAACAAGAATTGCGACTAATTATAAGAAATCACACGTTTGTTGTATAGATGTCTGTTAGCCAGTGACAATGAAACCAATAGGTGTTCTTGTATTGTAATCTGATGAAGTTTGTTCAGGTAAACTAGTATAAGGATCTTTTGGTAGAATTTGTTTTTCTTGTTTTCCTGGAGTCTTTGCTGATTTCTGATCAGTTAATTTGCGTCTGCTCAAGATTATTTTTCTACGTGAGTTAACTTTACATTCTATTAAAGTAGTACCATCACCGGAGAAATGATAGAATCCACCACACGTTACACACTCATCTAGATATCGCATCGTAACTGGCCACATCTCAGGTCGAGGTTTACCTTTATCATCCCATCCTTGTAATATTGTCTTCATTGGTTTTTCGAGATCCCAATGATGAATGAAGAGTGGGTTGATGAGGATATGACATCGAACGTCGGTTGTTGTAATCGAACCGACCCTATACTGTTGTTTAACTGTCACTCCCTCGATTCCCAGTGTTTTGTTCTGCGCGGTCATCGACTGAAATATATATCTATGTAAGTTGAGACGAGCGGTATGGAATGGTATACCTGATAATACGACAGGTAAATTTACAGGTTTGCCTTTTCCATAACGAACACAAAACACAGGTAGAATGATAAATTCGATTTCCGGAATATTTCGTAAACCGCCAATGAAGTAACCCTCATGAAAGAGATCGGAGGAGTTGATGAGATTGGACATGGATTCAACGTTTTTCACCTTGATCATCCATTCTCCTTGTGTCCACCCTAGATCTAGCGCTACAACTGATGTCACGACCACGCCAGTTGCGACAAGTGCTTCGACAACTGTGTCCAAGCTAGCAGATGATGGTTCTACAGTAACCCTGATATTGTACCAGCAATCCTTCTCCTGTACTTTACTACATGCGGACAGTGCTTTCATGTATTGATTCGCCCATAAACGTGAAATTGGTCGTAACTGAAGGGGATATTGCCCCGCAAACGATGGCGACGTATCCGGCGGACAATTCGTGTGTTCTATGTGGAAGTGTCGCAATCAGAAAACCGAAAGGTTAGTGAGAAGTCTATCAGATTGAAGGCCGATCTAGGTGGCTGTATGGCTGTAGAAGTCCAGGAGTTTCAAGATTGCCTGCAAACATGAAGAAGAATGCGGACACTTCGAACATCTGGTTGGGAATCTACTGACCTGATTTTGACGTCTTATTAGATTTACTTGAGGCTGGTTATTCCATTGATAAACAGAAAGTGCAAAAATGCATCCGAGATATCAATTGATGGGCACAAGCGCAGCTTGTTTGGTATATTCTTTTGTGAAATGTTGGTGCAGGGGCTACTACTTACAAGCTGTATTGGCCCTCGCTGTGAAGATTGAGCTAGACGGGTCTGATCAATGCACCGTGCCGATTGAAATAGTGAGAAACAGGTTCAGCGAGCAGTGACGAAAGAGATGACTGAGAGGTGAAGAGTCTACCGAGGTGTTCGTTGTTGAACTTTGATTTCTTCTTGGGCTTTTGATGATGATGTTGTGAATTCGAATGATCTTCATGTTTCAACTTTTTTGTCCTAGTTCGCTAAAGGCTCGCAATTGTGAAAAATTCATTATTGAGTCAATTCCATTACTGAATCTTTCGAAAGACCAAAGATGTTATGTTAGGCCTAACGAAAGGGAATATTTATGTGGGCTTGAACGCTGACTTTGCTGCGAGTTGAACCTATCATATTGAGAAAGTTGACCAAGACTCTTCGCCGAACCTTTGCGGATGAAATCTATGTTTGTTTTTTTCGGGCCTGACGATGGAAACCCGAGGTAGTGCAGAGATGTTCTTGAGGGTATGAGGGAGCGCAGAGCGCACAAAAAGGAAGTCGGGTGGTGTTCTGTTGAGAATGAGGATGGATGAATTGGAAATTCCAAATCCAAGCTTTTTTTTCGATTTTTGGTATCGCAGCAGCCTTTCCGCAGCACTTTTTTTTGGTGTGCACTCTGTAAAGCCATGTCAAGACAAGATATGATGTCACATTTCATCTCACGATTATGTATTTTGTATCTGCTGGCAATGGCATCTCATTCATCACAGACCCAGGGCCACAGCTACAAGTAGAAGCTTGAGCAAATGGAAGGCGCAAGTCGGAATAATCTCCTTTCTGCACTTGACACCGTCTTCATTTTCTGATAGATAAAAGTTGTACAAAAACCCGAAATTAAATGCTTATGTCGAGATTCGAGATTCAAGAAGATGCATCTTGCAACAAGGTCTAGCAAAAATCTACGACGTACCCAGAGTATCAAGGATACTGTTGCGTGCATATTTTTGGATACTGAAGATGTATGTAGATGAATATTCATATATAGTCCATGAATTTGGCTCGTGGCATGAAGATATAAGTCAAGTGGTTTGAATTTAAAGATTGTATCTGTGGTCAATCAACTGTTGAACAGGCTCCAAGCAATATCAGAATTGTTTTTCTTTGTTTCATCAGTTGGTCAAGTCAATTTTTGATTCGTACAACTTTAGACAGGATACTCACAGTGGTCTATCATTACAATCCTACAACTTCTCCTTTGATTGTCTGTTGAGGATCTTCAATATCATGCTGGTATTTTACATGAAATAAATTAAAATCTGAATATATTCTTTAGGACGTCACTTAGACTATGAAAGACCATTTGAAATCCTGGCCTTATCTTCCTTTGTTTGAGTTTACAATGTCTGTGGTACGCCAAACTCCTGCTCAACTCTTTGCATGGCCGGATTTGAACGTCGATTCATTCAAGTTTGAAAAAAATTAGACTGACTAGATACAATATAACTCAACATGTAACCAGAAAATTCACAGAAAATGACCAGTCTTTGAGCGCTTAGAAGTAAATGTCTTTTCAAGATGTAACAATAAATCCAATGTTTGTCTTTTTATCACTTGTTGAAGAAGCCGTAGGCAAGGGTGGATGTAGAGAAACAGAGGAAGGACGATCTTGCAGTGGCTTTAAACGTGATTTTGCCTTCTCAGCAGCCACTTCTTCTCGTCTCTCTATCAACATCCTGCGGTGGATGCGGGTAATACATTCGACTTCGGTGATCCCATCTTCTGCAAGGTGAAAAAAGCTGCCACAACATGAACACTCGTCAATATGCCGCATCGTCACTGGCCAAATTTCCGGTCGAGGTACGCCATCATTATCCCAACCCTGTAAGACTAATTTCATCGGATTTTCGAAATCCCACTCGTGGACACAACTCGGGTCGATGGCGACATGACATCTCAAGTCGTTAGTCCGAACCCCACGGATCATATATCTCTCTTTCACCAATACTTGTCGGATTCCAAGGTTCTTGTTCCGAGCCGTGATGGCCTCGTAAAGGTACTGATCAAGATTGAGGTCCGAGTCGTAAAATGGAATTCCCATCAAGACAATAGGTACCAGTACGGAGTCGGCCTCGTTATCTGTCTCCGTAGAGTATATAACGGGAATTACGATAAATTCTATTTTAGGGATTCGGCCGGCACCTAGAAAGTATCCCTTAGAATACCGGAGATCTGAACCCGCAAGTCCACAAATGGATGCACGGCGTGGAATATAAAACATCCAGTCTCCCTTAGCCCATCCCGTAGCCAGTGTGATTACGTTTTTTACATCGATTTTAGCGCGGCGAAAAGTTCTCAAAATGAGTTCCAGTGCATTGGAAGCTGGTTTTCCCACGAATCTGATGTTGTACCAGCAGGGGACATCTGGCTGCCCACTGCATGGACCGAATGATTTCATGTATCGAAGGATCCATAAGTGAGAGATGGGTCGTAATGTGAAGGGATAGCTTGGAGAGGGGATCCTACCAGCGTTTAAGAGGTCTATGTGAGTGAACATGATGAGATACGGAGAATGTGCAAAAAAAATCCATTGATTAGCTATGATGTAGAAATCAGAAGTAAGGAAGTCGTTCTACATCAGAGAGCATTCGTTGCGTTAGGATCAAATTTACCTGTGGAGATCAACAAAGTCGTCAGGAGTGATGCAGTCACGTGACTTGTGAAGTAGAACTACTCACCTCGAGCCTTTTTTTGCTTCCCTGTTTCCTTTTGGTTGGCCCGTTTTCCGGCCCCTTTTTTCGCTTCTGAGACAGGTGTAAAAGCAAGAATGGTGCATTATTGATCAGCTTATAGGTAGAGTAACGGAGCACGGGTTATATCAGAGGTGGCCTTAATCACTCGATTCACCTTCACTGTCCATAGATGGGGGCGCTTCAGCTGCAGCAACATTTCAAGATCATTGTCAGTACATACTACAAAATGCAAAATCAAGCAATCCAATTCAAGACTTACGATATACTAGACTTTGTGCTACCTCAGCTTCAGGTTCATTGGTGGGCTCTTGAACACGTTTGCGTGGTTTCGATTTCTTTGAACACTTCTGTGTGGATGGTTCATTTCTTTCATCCAGTGAGTTTGACATTCGAGTTCCCTAAATGCTCAAATAACAAAATCTTTGATCGAACACTTTGATAATAATCTAGACTTTGAGAAGAGAGGAGGTACTTCTTCGCTGGACGTGGCCTTTTGTTTCAAGTAGACTCGCTGGGGCGTATTTCAAAGGCCGTTGAGCTCAAATTTATATGTATGGGTGACGGTCGAAGTGAGTGTGATTTATCTTTCGAGTTGCCAAAAGTTATTTACAAAGCGAGTCTTGCAAGAAAAACTACCTCGAAAATCAAAATTATACCAAATGGGAACTAGCTTTCACCGGTGACAGAGGTTCACACGTGGGACATAGATGGCAATTCTGGTGTGCATAAACATCAGTTCGAACGTCATAAGAAATCAGAATTCTCAACTTCCTACGAGATCATTGTGAGAGCGTCCAGATACCATTGGCGAGTCGACTGCAAGACACAAAACCTTTGAAGCCTTGGCTGTCAAATTGTAGTTTACAGCCGGAAAAAGAGTACACAGGGCTGGCACGGCTGGCACCTAAGATCTGGTAGCCACGGTGTGTTTATATCTTTGCGTTGGCCACAGATGTATATCAAAGAAACCAGCATTCCTAGTTGCGGAAAATGACCATTGCATGTACTTTCTTTTGTTCTCCAATCGTGTTACCTCTTATCATCCAGCTTGGACTGGCTCAGCATTTAAGTATTCTTGATCCGAGTGATATCACACATTTATCGATCATAGTAGTCAAAAAGAGCTCTTTTGATCGCAGCGACATTCATCCTGGATGATGATTGCGGGGCACCTTGAGTTATCATGAAAAACAGTCTCAGACAAGCCTACAACATACTTTAACCCAATCAATCTCGCAATTTTATGTTATTCCAAAATAATTACGCACAGCAAACGTTCATACCACGCTCCAACTGTGACTTTCCTTTCTACCCCATTGAGTTCTGTTCTTTCAATTCTGATCTCAACCCTTCACCATCACCGATGTCTTTATTTCCTACTCGAGCCATCTTCGTACTGAGCCCGGGTGCTGAACCCAAACTGATTGATGTCGGCTTGAGGCGGCATACTCTCCAGCCTACAGAAGTGATGATCGAGAACTCAGCTTCAGGCCTTTGTCACTCTGATATCAACCTCATGAATGGACATGTACCACGATTTACCTTCCCGCTGATACCAGGTCATGAGGTACGTCGGTTCCGGGTTTGTTGTGTGGCGGCTCCATTGATAAGACGATCCCAAAGAGAAGTGATACTGATACAATGTCAAAAAAGGGCGCCGGAGTAGTAATGGAAATCGGAAAGGAAGTTGTAGGCCTGGCAGTTGGAGATCAGGTCTTGACGTCTTGGTCTTACTGTGGAAAGTGTCGAATGTGTGAACGTGGACGTCCTAGTGTATGCGAAGAGTGGTCAGTGGCTCTTGTCTTTCACTGCTGTTCTCTTCAGCGCTCGTATAATAACAACTCGACGGTTCTTGAGTACAATTTAGGCAATCAAGGAATTTGAGCGGATCGAGAGCTGATGGCTCAGCTGCTTTTGAAACTCTCAATAATCCTCCACCAGATGAGAAAATCGGATCTCAAATGATTGGTCAAGCAGCCTTGGCAAAGCATATGATTGTGGAGCAGTCAAGTGTATGAGTCTCATCACGTCCACTTCAAAACCCTTCCATGTGTCCATTTCTGAACTTTTGCTTTGTGAATTAACTTTATCAATATCCGGTTTGTTTGCAGTGTACCAAAATTCAAACCTCACTCAGTAAATCTGATCTAGATTGGCTGGCTCCACTCGGTTGTGGATTTATAACGGGTGCTGGGACGGTTTTCAATTGTCTCCCAAAACCTATCAAATCAGGTTCAACAATTGCAGTATTTGGAGTTGGTGCTGTAGGCTGTTCAGCCTTGATGGCTGCTAAATCGGTTAGTCGGCTTTCAATCTATCCAACATACACTTCTTGATCAAGCAAGGTGATTTCCACATCATAAGGCACTTCGGGAATTGAATTGGAAGATCTTTTACTTGTCAATCTTTACATAGCTCGATTTGTTTGAGGAGATTATAGCTATCGATATTCATCCTGAACGATTAGAGCTTGCAAAAAGTTTGGGAGCGACTTCAGTCGTTTTATCCGATGGAACAAAGGATGTTTCCCCTCAAGTTCGATCAAAGACCGCAAAGTCGTTAGGAGTAGATTATATGATCGAATGTACCGGTTTATCTAGCTGTGGGTGATTCCGGGCAACTGAGCTTTTCAAGAGAAACTCGTCTTTTTCATCTTTCATCATATCTTTACATCTCTAGGTATGAAAGAAGCGTATGCATCATTAGTCAACGGTGGGATGTTGTGCTTGGTTGGCATTGCTCGTCCAGGGACTAAGCTGGATATCGAGGGTAATCGCAATGAATTTGTCATGTGCTGTGAACAGTGACAGTGTCTAAAATTATTTGCTTTCTTGAATGCATAGTTGTTACCATGGTTAGCGATATGAAATCACTCCGAGGATGCCTTCAAGGCGATTGTGTACCATCAGATTTGATTCAAAAACTAATCCAGTTGAACAAAGAAGGTATGGCCTTTACTATGAGCAACGTTCATTCTACGCAAGATCAAGGTTGAAAAATTATCTGCCATCCTTTTTTTGTTTATCATTTAGGTCAATTTCCATTTTATCAATTGTGCAAAAAGTACCCTATTGAAAACTTTACAGAAGCTATGAATGATATGACAACTGGAAAAGTCATCAAGCCTATTTGTTGAGTTACTCTTTTTCAAGATCTATAGTATCTGCTGATGTATTTCACGACAAGTTTTCTTGCTAATCTACTTTTTCTACCTACCAGTGGTTTGGGATTAAGCGTGCAATTTTTCTTCATTATTCGTGTATTAACTCTCTACAGGTGTTAAAAGATCATATATTATTATCTTGTATGCTATTGCTAACTGATGGCTTACAGAACCATTCCCTGGAGGAAGAGAAGTGCAACATATACATGGCTTGCTAAGTGGTACATCCCAGACCCCAGACCTTGGTTTGCCTCTGACTCTTGTGATGACTTTTTGGAAGACCTTATATCATTTGCCTGAGGTAATCAAAAACCTGTTCATGCATGCTTCAAACCCTGCCTGGAAACAGGCTGTGCAAATTGCTGATCAGCACAAGGAAACAGGACTACAATGGTTCATCTAAATTTGTAGTTTAGTGTGGCATTTATGTTAAATCATCTGGTGGGGTTTTCATATCCTGCAATATTGTTCTGTTTGATTTTTGTGCTATGCTTTGGAACTTAACCAAGTCCAACTCATGTTGAGGTGTACCAGCCAGTTCAAATGGCAGCACACAAAAACAATGAAATTAGATGAGTTGCTCTGCTTTGTTATCTCTTGGCAAGCACATTGGCCGTCCATGCATTGTGTTTGACATGATTTGTGAATTTTTCATGTATCTTTTGCGTTTGTAGTTTGGGTTGATATCTTTGCTAGGATTGGTACAATGTCATTGTCTCTACATCACATTTTCTTGGTGAAATTTGATAATGGCAATTGGTGCAATGAAATATACCTATCACAGAGATAAAGTTGAAAATACACATGAAATGCCACAAATTCAATGTCAAAAATGAACAAGTCTTAATCCCAAACCACTGAATAGAAAAGGAAATCAATAAGAAAGAATGTTTCAAAAGAGGTGATCATGTATAGGAACAGGAATGACTCAACAAATAGGCTTGATAACCTTTCCAGTCTTCATATCATTCATAGCTTCTCCAAATTTGTCAATAGGATACTTTTTGCACAATTGATAAAATGGAAATTGACCTAAGTGTGGACCCACAAAAAGTGTGGCAAACAATTTGTCAATTCTTTCTTAAAATGCGTCTATTTTCTGATAAAGCTCTTACCTTCTTTGTTTAACTGAATGAGTCTTGGGATCAAATCTGATGGTACACAATCACCTTCGAGACATCCTTGAACCGTTTTCATATCATTTACATGGGCTAGAGCTGGAAATCAGATCAAGCAAAGTGTGATCAATGGCAATAAATATCAAAAGATGAGAAATGTTTGACTGGATCACTAACGATCAAAATCCATCTTAGTCCCTGGACGAGCAATGCCAACCAAACACAACATCCCACCGTTGGCCAATGATCCATAAGCCTCCTTCATACCTAGAGAAGATTAGCGAAAACGTGATTGGTTCCCCGGTCCTGACATCGCAATTTCTCGAAATGACTCACAACTGGATAGGCCGGTACATTCAATTGCATAATCTACTCCTACCAACTTTTCTGTCTTTGCTTTCACTTGAGGTGAAACATCATTTGTTCCATCAGATAAAACAACTGATGTTGCTCCTAAACTTTTTGCAAGCTCTAATCGTCTAGGATGGATATCGATAGCGACAATTTCCTCAAAGATATCAACCTGAAGGAAGAAAAGACACAACACAGGCTCAGATCCGAGCTCTCACTTTCAATTCATAGATTGAACGCTAACGGACGGATTTGGCAGCCATCAAGGCTGCACATCCTACAGCTCCAACTCCAAACACTGCGATTGTGGAGCCCGATTTGATTGGTTTTGGGATGCAATTGAAAATTGTGCCAGCGCCCGTTATGAATCCACAGCCGAGGGGAGCTAACCAATCTAGATCAGATTTACTGACTGGGGCTGGAAGTTTGACACACTTTAAACTCAACGATCATGGAACATAAGAAATTTGAAAAGCAAAAGATCAGTAAGCTGGAGTGATTCAAAAGAGACAAAAGGATCATGTATATGGAAAGAAATGGGGTGGAGAGTCAGAAGTTCCATACGCTTGACTGCTCCACGATCATATGCTTTGCCAAGGCTGCTTGACCAATCAGTTGAGATCCGATTTTCTCATCTGGTGGAGGATCATTGAGAGTTTCAAAAGCAGCTGAGCCATCAGCTCTCGATCCACTCAAATTCCTTGATTGCCTAAATTGTACTCAAGAACCGTCGAATCGTTATTATGCGAGCGCTGAAGAGAACCACAGTAGAGCCACTGACCACTCTTCGCATACACTAGGACGTCCACGTTCACACATTCGACACTTTCCACAGTAAGACCAAGACGTCAAGACCTGATCGCCAACTGCCAGGCCAACAACTTCCTTTCCTATTTCCATTACCACTCCGGCGCCCTTTTTTGACATCATTTCAGTATCACTTCTCTTTGAGATCGTCTTGCCAATGAAGCGGCCACACGAAAAAGCCGGAAGCGACGCACCTCATGACCAGGTATTACCGGAAAGGTAAATTGCGGTAGATGACCATCCATAAGAATGAGATCAGAGTGACAGAGACCTGAAGCTGAGTTCTCGATGATCACTTCTGTCGGCTGGAGAGTATCTCGCTTGAAGCCGACATCAATCAATTTTGGTTCAGCACCGGGGCTTTGTACGAATATGGCTCGAGTAGGAAATGGAGACATTGGGAGAGGCTAGGATGGAAATTGAAAGCACCCAATGGAATTTCTTTTGAAAACATTCACATCACAGTCTTTGAGTTAGCTATGTATGATGACACGCTGCGCGCGGGTGAATTGGATTGGCAAGAGGGTTAAAGGTTCATTTGCGATAAACCCACGGAAGGTTCGTCTGAAAGTGGTTTGTAGACATGTGCTGTGCATTGATCATATTCAGAGACGAAGGGCATGACGCTGTCAAAGGATTTATCAAATGGGATCATGTACATGAAGTTATAACATAATCAAAATTCAGACTTCGTTCAATAACCAAAACTGGATGATGGCATCGCCGGAGGAGGAAAGAAAACAGTCAAGGGTCAGCATCTGTGAGCAAGGATAGTGGTATTTCAAAAAGGGAAAGATAGCGGTTAAGAGCAAGGTATCAGGTTAATAACGCAGGAAGTTTTGAGTTCGTCATATAACAACGAATCGTCAATAAGATATCTCAAGTAGAATTGATTTTATACTAAGCTCATCATTCTTGCTCTTGCGATTTGTAGGTGAAAATTGGATACGGCAGAGGATAAAGAAGTGCTTACATTAGAGTCTTGATATTGGTTCGGTTTGCTTCCGTTCTGTCGAAGGGAGGGGGGATGAAGGTGCTGCACAAGGGGACCACGCATCACAATTGGTGGGGCTGTCGTATCTTAAAAAGGATTGTCGGCTTTCTGGCTCACTTGTGGTCCTGAGGCTGCCGAGCTGTGTAACTTGAATGACAGGTCTGTGAGTACCATTGCTTCACAGACAAGTCACAGCTATTTGACACCGCGGGAATAATTTAGGCACCCCTGGCCCGAAGAAAAAATATTTTTCAGCGTCCGCAACTTCCTTCAATCGTGAATTTCGTTCGCAATACGTTCACAATGGGTTCACAGGTTCCCCTCGAGCGATACCATACACAACATAACACACAGAGCAACAGCTCACCTGGAATTGCTGTCATGCAACCATTCTGCCAAACTTAACAAAGTCCCTCGCCAAAGGCCCGAGCCCCAGCGAGGGACTTACCCCATAAACTGGAATCCTGGCGTGAGAAGTAGCCTGTATTGGCTCAAAAAACACTACTTTGAATTCTTTGATTTGTTCCTAAATAAACAGGTCTCGGAGGTAAATAAAAGGATGATGGCAAATATTCATTACATATGAGCCAATTGCAAGCTTCCCCAAATCTGGTCTGGAACTTGGGCTACTAGGGAATCAAAAATGGGTCTGTTTTCAATTTTCAGCAGCGGCGAGCCGGCTCAAAGCCTGTATTTCTCAGAAAGCGGTCAAAATAATTGATCTTCAACTACTCAAAAAGATAACTTCCCAGAAAGATAGAAAGGAGTTTGCAATTGGTACATATGTAATGGTCCCTTGCCATTTTCTTCTTTCTTTGTTGCAAGACATGTTTGTTGAGAGAGAAAAAAAACAAACAGATGTAGAGAATTTGGAGCAAATACAGCTCACTTCTCACGCCAGGATTCCAGTTTATGGGGTAAGTCCCTCGCTGGGGCTCGGGCCTTTGGCGAGGGACTTTGTTAAGTTTGCCATTCTGCCAGCTCTGACAGTGAGCCTGGAGCCAAAGATATGAATGAGATCAATGATAGTTGATACTGTGAATGGGAGTATTGGCTATGTATACATGCTTTACACACACAGCAAATAGACAGGGCATCTCGAGGGGAACCTGTGAACCCATTGTGAACGTATTGCGAACAAA